TTTTCAGGCTTTCAGAATTTTTAGCTGATGACAACATACAACTGACCATGTTTGGGCCTGGAAGCCCAGCAGGGTTCACCCTAGTTAGCGGTTAGTGGGGACTCCTCCAGAGAAGCAGAGCTCTAAGCTAAACTGAAAAGTCTTGTAGAAAGACAGAATGGCAAGCTGTTTTTGCATCTTTGTTCTTAAGAAAACTGCAGGATGTGGTGTCATGCTCACTTTGGAGGCCCCTTTACATTTGTAGAAGAGGAAAATCTTTGAATCGCCTCCTGGAATGCATTTGGTACAATCAATCTGAAGTTTTTTTGTGTGAGTCTGTGTATAATAACAAAACAGCAAATTCCTTTTTTCCAAAATGCTTTTGATGAATGCTTTATATAAAAACCACATCTTTTTTTTCTGAATTCGACATATGTGTGCTGTAAGTAAAGTAGGTAAGAGAAAAATTAGTTTGTTGATGATGAGCTAAAATGGTTTTACCCATAATGATATTTTCATCCTTGCATATTATTCCAAGAAAGTCCTATCAGATCAATTATGTAGTAAACTCAAAATGTACATACAAACTATTTTATTGTAATTGGCTCTGATGATGTTTTAAATGATGGGATGTAACTCATAAAGAACGTTAATAAATGTGATAATAAATGGCTGACATAAAATGGAAGATGGGCGATATAAACTATAGTCCAGACTCCTGGAAAAGGAAGTCCAGAATAGTTTCTACTTTCATTTAGAGATTTCTTTCATTCAAGCTAATTCTTTGCATGTTTACAAGCTGCAATATCTTTAATGAGGCTATTTGAGATATGCCAGCATAAGGTCTGCCATCAAGCTCTAAAACTATGCATTATTAAGGCTTACAGAATTCATTGGGGCTCCCTACCTTGAATGTGGATTTAGGATTAGAAAATAGTTTGGAAGTAAACACCATGAAAGATAGTGCTTATTTCTGAATAAATATATGAATAAATATATGAAGGACAGTATTATTAACCAATGCAATAATGTACATGATTCTAGTAATTACATGTACATCTTTATTAAAACAAAACAAAACCAGGTTGCAGCTCCACGCCCACATGCCTTGAGAATAAGCCGTCTGCATTTTAATGGATCTTACTGCTAAACAGATATTGTACGCATGTGAAACACTATTTTGCAAGTTTTACTATTATTTTAACTATTGTTATTAGAATTAAAGCATTTTATTTCCCAAACTTGTTAACTTTGCTGTATCTTGAAACAGGAATATAGTCATATTTGAAATGGAAGTGATTAATTTTCAATGGTCCTGCAATATACAGTTGTATTTTATACTGTTGAAAGAGTTTTTAAATCAAAAGCACTGCAAGTCATTCTCAAATATATTACTTTTCACATTCATTCTAGACAGGGCTGAATGCCTTGTGACACACATAATAGAAACACTAATTTTTATCTCCCTCTCCCAAATTAAAAATATAATACATAAGAAGCATGGCTTATTATTTGCCATTATTGTTTTAATCTTTCCTATATAAAAGAGATTAAATATATTGCACTTAAAAACTCAACTTGTGAACAGGTAACATTTCATTGGAATGGGCAGAAGGCATCTGGTTTACATTTTAAAGATTTTTCTTTGGAACAGAAGTGGAACAAACGGGGACATACAGTGGCAAAGGCATTCCTTCAACATATTCCCATCACTGCATGAGCAACATACAATTTAGCGTAGAACTTTCAAAAGAGCCAAATTTACCCTTCATGTATTTTGCCTTCCGTTTAATTGAGAGTATGCTTTTAAAAAATGATTTTATGTAAAAAACACACACCAAAAGAACTTCAGACTATTTTGAATAACATCTTGTTTGTCCCAGAAGTGAATTTTTCCTTTGGAAACCTCTCTTAAATTCTTAGGGAAAGAATCAAACTATATATTAATTGTATGTGGATTGGATATATACCTTAAAGAAACCATGTATATTTGCTGGAGCTGTGGGTGTTTATATGTACTTTTTCAATCTAGCATATTTTTGTTATTGTTGTTGCTGGTACACATTGCAAATAGCAGAAACTGAATATTGAATACAGAAGCACCTAACTGTGCAATCACTAATTACAGCTCCAGCAAAAACAGTTTAAAATTTAATGAAATTTCTGTGCAAACAATATTGGAGGGCATTGATGTGCAAATATGGTTATCTGTCCTAAGCTTTCTATTTGAAAGCTAGGAACTTTTTTTTTTGTCTCTGGGTATGCTATAGTTGCAAATCAAATGCAGATCATTTTATCAACATTAGTCCCTTATCTACATAAGGGAAGGAAGGAAGAAAAGCACATGTGATTTGGCAATATTTATAAAATAAAATGAAATAAAAACATAGCAGCATAACAGGGATATAGCAGAAGGAGAGAGAGAGATATTTCAAATCTGCTGTCTCAAAGAAATGCATATTTTATTCATTTATTTCCATGTAATTATTTCTAATTAACAGCTCCATTTGAAATAATGTTATCTTTAAAGATGCCTTATCCCTGCAGATATTCTTGCATTTAAAACAAAACTATAAGCAGCATTAATATTGTACACTACCCCAAAATCAATTTATTTCCAAGTGCAGAAATTCTTGAATATTCTGTGGATGGGAGTATCTATATCATCACAGACTAGTAGTTCAGGAATATTAATATTTCATTATTATTATTATTTTCTTCTTCTTCTTCTTCTTCTTCTTCTTCTTCTTCTTCTTCTTCTT